TATATATATATAAAATAATAATAATAATAATAATAATAATAATAATAATAATAATAATAATAATAATAATAATAATAATAATAATAAAGTACAGAAAAGCTCTCTTAGGTAGTTCCTGGCTCTTGAGGGCATATATAACTCAAGGTTCACAAACTCTCATTGGTTATGAGTTCTAGCGTCAATGCTCTGGGCCTTCTAATACATTTCCATTGTTCAGGGAATATCGGGAATGTGCCACTTGTCCTGATTGCGGCATTGTGTCGAGATAATTCCAATCCTTTTGGCAATACATGTTCTCAAGATGGAACTGCCTACATCTCATTTGGCCAATGGGTAAATTAATTACTCCTTATTGAAAAGCTCTACTGAGCTGCCTCCTACAGGCGCTAGTTCAGTTTGTTATGCCTTTTTTTTGTGCTTGCAATACGTATTACACTTTCTTCACTGGACTTCTAGGTACTGTGAACTATTGCAATTATTTAATAACTCAGTAGCCAAGAAAAGGTGCCTACGGGCCATAAATCTACAACAGTATGTTCGAGGAAAAAAATAATGACATTATTCGGAAGTCAAACAATTTTCTTTTTGCACCCTAAGATATTTGTTAACTTCTAAAAAGTTTGACATGTATAAGGACTCAATCTTCGAACTACTCATTATCTTTCACGTGAACTATGTCCTCCATCACCATCTTCTACTTTCATAATTTAAGCCTAGTTTTTCCTTTTTATTTATATTCTTTTTTTTTTTTGGCATTTTGTTTTGTTATATGATGATTACCGGCCTTCTGACTTTTTCTCTTTTTATTAAGGATTAGAAATTTACGTTATTTTGTATTTATGGTTTTTAGTTAGGTCTGATTGTATTGGTACTTTTATTATCGCTGAAAGAAACTATATGAATTTATATATGCAACCGGAAGCCCCTAAAAATGCCCCTTGGCATGGCTTGTTCGCCTATGCCTTGCACTGTTTTCTGAACATTGTGTCAACATGTTTGCCGTTCCTTTTTAAACACTTTTGTTGTCCTGTCTGCATAGTTAAGTCCAGTTATAGGAACTCAACAATATGTCTTTTGCATAGGTTGGTGCAATTATTCTGTATACCTATGTTTTTCAAATGCTTGCTCCCCCTCCTGGTGGATCATTCGAAGTCGAAGATGGTAATCTGCCTATTAAGAATCCTCTCGGAAATAGCACTAATGCCCTTGATAGAGATAGACCTCCTGAGCAAACTCCACTTCTTGCGGTTGAGGATGTACCTGCCCGTTCAAATGAAGTGAAGAAAGACAAAGTGAGAATATATCTCAAGTTCATCAGCATATAATTTGTGTCTTACATCATATGATTTGATTATATCAAACTGCATATAATTTGATTTGCTGGTTTGTCTTCTGTTTACTCACTTCTTGCTGCCTTTTTAAGCAGGTCAAATACTTTCTGAAGTATATTTATGAGAAATTGAAGCTGAAGCAAATTATTCAACCTCCAATTATTGCCTCTGTAAGTATAAGTCTCTTTCGGCGTTTCTTTATTTACAAATATTATCTAATTCATATCTTTTGTCCATTGAAATGGTTATGTTTGCAAATTTCTTTGTTGTTACATCATGAAAAAATTGGCTTATTATTCTTAGCATACTCATTATTCTCCTATGTGAAATAGCGAGCTGTGATTGAAATTTCACACGGCCTGTAGAATCATGTTTCTGTACATAACAAGATCTGTACATAACAAGATAAGAAAGAAGAATAATGCACTGTCATGGTTAATGTGTGAAAATTTATATGAAAGAAGCTTCTCCATATGAATTACATGGATTTCCTCAACACACAAGGGTTTTCATTGACTAAATGTTTTCAGTACAATCTCTATCTTGAGTTTGTTATATATGGGTGGCTTATTTTTTTGTTGCTTTAGCAAAGTTCATGTTTACATTCGCATTATGTGATCTATCCGTCATCCATCTGTTTCTACTCCCACCAACATTCTGGTATTCAGCTTATCAAGTCAGTAAATTGCTAGGTTGAGGATGTAATTAGCATTGACGAAATCTTAGAATCTTGTGCCATCTTATGACACTTTTGCTATTCCCTGTGAATATATATTTAGAAGACTGACCGATTCTCCTTGTTTGAATCTCTTCCTACAGGTCCTTGCAATATTTATAGGATGCGTTCCTTTTCTGAGGAAATTAATCTTCACTCCGGATTCTCCTCTCTATTTTTTCACAGATAGCTGCATGATTCTTGGGTATGTTCTACCTTTGTATAATAATTACTTGTTTATTCCTTGTGAAACTGCTGCTTTGATCATTTCTCATTTTTGGTAAGAAAAAGAAATTCCTAGTGAGAAAGTATGAAGGGAACCCGGTTGTGGATTCAAGATTTGTAGCGTTGTTTCCTGATTAACATTCAAACTAAACTTTTTGGTAAACTGGCAGCACAAAGATATAGCAATTATGTCAGTGACGTGCTTCACTAATAGAAGAATATGTTTGTGCATACGTTTTATAATCAGACTTCCAAATGGCTTTAACTTCGTTCTAGTAGATTAAAACACCAATATCGTCTCTACTTGTATTTCATGACAAATGCCTATGATCACTCATCACTTCCTGACAAATTATTTCATCTCAGTGAGGCCATGATCCCATGCATATTGTTGGCATTAGGAGGCAACCTTGTGGACGGTAAGTAAAACCCAGGAGGAAGTTCCCTCAATCCCATACGCATAGTCCTACGAATAATACAATGTAAGTTGCTAAAACATAAAACTCGTGCAGGGCCCGGCCCAGGTAGTGCGAAAATCGGTGCACGGACAACTGCAGCAATTGTATTCGCGCGACTCGTTTTGGTACCTCCGACAGGTCTAGGCATTGTCACACTGGCAGATAAGCTCGGGTTCCTGCCTCCGGGTGATAAGATGTTCAGATTTGTGCTTCTTCTTCAGCACACCATGCCTACTTCCGTGCTTTCAGGTAATTTTTTTTTTCATTAGATGCAACAAATGAGAGCGTATGTAGAACGTTAGTGCTAGGACTCGAAACGCTAGATCAGGATTCTGGATTTTGAAAACTCATTTCGCATTTGATTTAATGTATTTTACAGGTGCCGTTGCAAGTCTACGAGGATGTGGGAAAGAGGCTGCATCGGTATTATTCTGGGTTCATATTTTCGCCGTATTCTCCATGGCTGGGTGGATCATTCTTTACCTCAACATACT